CAAATGAAGCCAGGGATTTAAATATCCTAGGCTTCATTTGCATATTCCTGGGTGCTACCATTTTTAAATCCCCCTTAGTCCGAACTCCATGCCCGCGGCTACATGCGACACGGAGTAGGTAGTTCAAATTAAAGATCCTAATTTGAACTACCGTTACTCCTAATTCCAAGAGGCATAACGGTAGCTCGAATTAGGATCTTTAATTAGATCCTGGTCAGTTTTAAAAGCGGCGGTGATGGGGGAGGCCTGTGGCAGAGCAGCTGGGGTTCTGCTGGGTTGGTCCCACAGCCCCAAGGGGCAGCGCTACCGGACCAACCCGGCAGCACCCCAGCTGCTCTGCTCCCGGCTTCCCCGATTCAGCTGATGGTCAGTTTCAGCAGCAGCTGAATGGGGGAAGCCTGTCCGGCTGCCCCAGCACTTCCGGGTTCCTGATGGTGCCGGACCATCAGGAGTCCCGGAGCATTGGATGCTGGACTAATAGAGTTTTCCTGTACTATACCCCTTTCAGGACCCTGATTTGTCTTAACTCCAAGTTCCACTTCACTTAAAAACTATATGCTTACAAATCAGACATTAAAATACAGAACTTTCAAACAGTACACTGCTACTGAAAAAATTATCATTTTTACCATATCATAAAATAAATCATTTGAAACAAATATTATACTTTTACATTTTAGTGTATGGTATATGAAGCAGAATAAACAAATCATTGTATGAAATGTCGTTTGTATAGACTTTACTGCAGGTTGAACCTCCCTGATCTGGCACCCTCGGGACCTGACCAGTCCCAAAGGAAGGATTTTGTTGAACCGAGGATGGCCTCTCTGCTGGCAAACTCTGGACTCTCTGGTATCTATCAGCAGATTGCCATGCTTACCTGCCTGGGCTCCCAGCTTTGCGACCAGTCTGGGGCTGCTGGGGCTCAGCTGCTCAAGGGTCATTGGGGCTCTGCAGCCCTGGTGGTCAAAGCTGCTGGACTTCACAGCCTTGGGGCCAGAGCTGCCAGGATTCCACAGCTGAGGCTCTCTGGTCCAGCAACATCCAGAGAGTCCAGTACCAGAGAGGTTCAACCCATAGTGCGTTTTTTGTAACCTGTTGTAAAACTAAGCAAATAAGTAGATGAGTTGATGTACTCTCTGGAAGACCTCTGCATATCCGTAAAGGTATGTGTACCCCTGATTGAGAACTCCTGTGTTTGCAAAAACTAGTTCCACACAAGTAGACTATTTTTTGATACACTAACAGTCTTTAATACACCAACAGCTAAAGGAGAGCTCATTGAGGAGTACTCAAATAGTACTAATGAATCTTCTTGAACCTTTTACCAACCCTGTGGCTGATATAGCAACTTCTGGTTTAGGTTTGTTAAGAACCACCATCCATCCCTATACAGCTTCCATTTGGGATCATTAGAAGAAGACCGATGAGGCTTAGTGCCTCATTAAATCAGGAAAAATGTCAAAGATTTTCAGGCAAAACTATTTAAAAGGATTGGTTGCACAAAATGCTGTGGCCATAGTTATGCATTAATGTGTGTGTGTGTGTGTGTGTAAATATGACACACACATCCACCACAGATGTGCAAGACTGAGGGAATCTCTCAGGAGAGTGGGTCACAAACCATTTAGGGGTTTATAAGTCAAAATACACACCCTTAAGTGCTTATCCAGATGCCCAGCTCAGTAAGGGCATACCTTCACTACCCCTAAGATCGTTGGGCAGTGGTAGAACCCGTGGGGGTCGATTTATCACGTCTAGCTTTCTGAGCACTCTCCTCCAGTCCTCCATCAAAATAAGAAGAGTAAGTGGAGTCGATGAGAGAGTGTCAGCTGTAAATTTACCACAGTGAGAACATCGCTGTAACTTCCACTATGTTCATGAAGATGATGTTGTGTAACGACCCATAGTAGCATAGAGTAAGCCTAAAAGAATTAGTGCTTTCTGCACCAGCTTCTGTTTCCAAATGGTTTTAAATGTAGCAATATATAGGGCATGTTGCAGCACTAGCAGCAGTCTAATTTTAAGACAGCAAAGGCCTGGATAACAGTGACAATGTCTGTGTCTAAAAAGAAGGATTAAGCATTTCTATTTAGACACAGATGGTAAAATCTCAAGTGGGTTACTGTTCAAATATGATCAGCCAGCACTAAAAAGGGGATCTAGAATTATCATTAAGTTGTGAACCCTAGAAACTAATGGTGTAAATACCCCATCAATATGCATACATATGTGTATAATATGTTCACTTGGCTATTATTTATGTTAATTAAATAACAAAGAAGGAAAAGTTTACAGAACAGGAAATATCAGTGAAAAGCTATTAGATCTCTGGATCCCTTGCTCCATTCATCTGAATATGTGGCTAGTGCCCATGAAATATCATGATACTATCTACATCTTTTGTTAGTCTCTAAGGTGCTGCAGGACCATTTGTTTTTTATTTTTTTTTCAGTTAGGGTATATCTACATTGCATGCTTATTTCAAAATAACTTATGTTATTTCAAAATTACAGAGTGCGAGTCTACACATCAAGTCCATTATTTCATTTCAAAATAATGAGCTTCTTACTCCAACTTCTGTAACCCTCATTTCATGAAGAGTAAGGGAAGTCTAAGGAAGAGTGTTCTTCCTTCAATTTCCTGCTGTATAGACAGTGCCTAAAGAAGAGTTAAGCTACTTTGACTTCAGCTACACAACTTCAGCTACATTAAGGCTACGTCTAGACTGGCATGATTTTCCGGAAATGCTTTTAACTGAAAAGTTTTCCATTAAAAGCATTTTCAGAAAAGAGCGTCTAGATTGGCACGGACGTTTTTCTGCAAAAGCCTTTTTTGCAGAAAAGTGTCCATGGCCAATCTAGACGTGCTTTTCCGCAAAAAAGCCCCGATCGTCATTTTCGTGATTGGGGCTTTTTTTGCGGAAAACAAATCTCAGCTGGCTACACTGGCCCTTTTGCGCAAAACTTTTGCGCAAAAGGGACTTTTGCCCGAACAGGAGCAGCATAGTATTTCCGCAAAAAGCACTGATTTCTTACAGTAGGAAGTCAGTGCTTTTGCGGAAATTCAGGCGGCCAGTGTAGACAGCTGGCAAGTTTTTCCGGAAAAGTGGCTGATTTTCCGGAAAAACTGGCCAGTCTAGACACAGCCTAATTGTGTATCTTGACTCGACTTTGTCCTGCAGTGTAGACGTACCCTTTAAAGACTAACAAGGCTAGCCCTTTGAGACTTATATCCGGAAAAATATTTTCAGGGGAGGCAATAGCACCAGACCGAGGTAGTAATTCCTTCACAAGAAAAAGCATTCTCCAGCATGTTTACTAGAGGCAAGGAGAGGCAACAGCACCTACCTAGCAGCCTAGCATTAAATTTTTGGGCTGTTTTTGTTTTTTTAAAGTAAACCTTGAGAATTATTACATGTGAATTAGAACAGTTTTGAACTTTGACCTTAATAATGATTAACTAGCATTTATATTGTCTTTGCATTTTCAAAGTGCTGCACAAGCATTAATTTAATCCAATTAAAGGGAGAGGATTATAATAGGCATTACAAATCCATGAAAGCAGAACAATAGTCTTTAATATTAAACCTAATTATTAAAGTATAAATGTTGGAATCAAAGTCAGGCAGCATGATTCAGTGAGTGGGAAGCAATGTTCAGAAGTCTTAGCTTCCATTTTCAGCTATTAGATATGGGGCAAGTCTTTGGGTAAGTCTACGCAGCACCCTAAACTCGAAATAAGATACGCACTTTGTGCTATGCAAATTGTGTATCTTATTTTGAATCTATTTCAAAATAGCTTATTTTGAAATTTGGTTCATCAACACAGTGCCAGATTTCAAAATAACATGCTATTTCAAGACATTCCTTAACCCTTGTGGAACGAGGCTTACCGGGATACTGAAATAGCATGCCAGTTATTTCAAAAAATATTTCGAAATAATGGGTGACTTATGTAGACATGAGATAGCTATTTTGGAATACCTCTGGTATTCCGAAATAGCCATGCAGTGTAGATATACCTTTTGTGTTGGAGGAGAACAGGTTATATAAGTTGATATGGTTGTCATTTTAAATTGGAATCACCTTCTTGGAATGGCAAAAGGACTCCCTTTCCTCCATCTTGGTGTTGCTTTTCTTTCAGGTTTTTGATGCCCTTTTCCAGTTTGGCATCAAAATGAAGAGAAAGGTGGAAATGAGACTGTTATGTGGCAGTAAATCTGTCTAGCAATTGGAACGTATATGGGGTTGGGGGATAAGCCTGGTGGAATCTGGGAACTGGTACATGCTGGGAGCTGGCCTAAAAGCAAGCAGGTCATCCCAGTGAAGGCTAGAGACCTTCCCACAGAGTACCAGACTTGTTTATAAATAGAGCCTGGGGAGATAACATACAGTAAGGCCCCTTTTAGCTTATCTGCACCCACAACATTAGTTAGGTAGCGTCCACATTCCACATGCAGGATGGTGAGTCAAAAATAGACTGAAGACATCAGACCAAGGGAAATCTCCTTACCTGTCTGGAGATTTCTGGAATCCAGCTCCTAGTGCTTCTGTGTTATCACCTGTTTCATCTGAGTGTCTGCAGGACATGGCATAGCCCTTCTCTGTTATTCTGATATCCCATCAATAAGGATTTGGGATCTGAAGTTCATCCCCATTGATTCCTCTGTGATAATATCTGAGCCATTATTGTTATGTTGTAGGGGGTCCCTGTATGTTGTTTTCCATCTAACTTACCTGTGTGTTAACTACACTACAAACCAATGATAGCTGGGGAGGGAGTAGGATACTGCAGATAGCCCATCTTCTGACACATAAATCAAGATCAAACTGTTTCAGGCTAATATTTGTACTTGGTAACAATAGGTAATATATATCTGATCAGGTTATAATAATAACTAATGTTTGCCTAGCACTGTGAAATCCTTGGATGAAAGCAGCTATACAGTGTTATGCTTATAAGAAAGACACCGGATCTTTCTCAGAGGAAAAGGCAATAAGCCACATTTATTGAAAATATAACATGAAAAGCAGCATATGCATTCATTCACACACAGACCACAGGTCCTGAAGATGCTCTTATAGTTACCAGTCTGTTTTAGCTCAAGTCAACCTAAAATGGTCAGTTAAATTGAACGAGTGAGGAGCTGGGCTCTGTTGGTCATGACCCGATACTTTGAGGCTCATCAGGACTGACCCCGGGGAACCATGACAAAACACCCTATCTTTATTTTTGTAAGTTGCCATTGGAGTCTAGGGATTTGGCAATGTCATGTTGCCAATGTTAATCCATAAATGGTATTTAATCTTGGAATTTTTCATATTATCTTTTGATTGTTGTCAGGCTTCCCATCATCTCATTTGTCATCTCACCTTTGGGGATGCCTGCCTTTCTCCAAGATTTGTTAATTCTGCTAATTTGTTTAGCAGTGGGCACAATGGGTTTTCTGATTTTTTCCTCAAAGTTTCTCACTTCCTTTTGACCATCTGGACATTCATGATGGATTTCACACTTATCCTTAAGTATGCATGCATTCTCCACTCACACCAAACAATTTTACAGAGAAATTTTCAGACAGGATTACATTTGAGAAAGGATATAGTTACTAAGAAATAACAAAAGAGCCTTATACAACTTAGCTTGCAATGCAGATAAGTAGCAAGACTTAATTTGTAATGTTAACAAGAAACAAGAACTTATACCAAATACGGTACCTATTAGCATCGTTATACCCACACAAAAGTAGTACAGTAAAACTTGTGTTATCCGGCATGCTCGGGGACTAGGGTGTTCTGGTTATTTAAAAATTCTGGTTATCTGAGGATCCCATCAACCTAGGAAAAACCAATGGACAATAATAGTAAAACTCATGTTTTTAATATTGGTAGTAGTGTGAGGCAGTTGGTCTCACAATGCTATTTTGAGTTAAAGATGATTAATACTTCTTAAATAAAAAATTAAGCCAATCATGGTAAACCAAGTCAGGCCTGTGTGCCCGAAGATGTGACAGTATCATGGCTGGGGGCAGTGCCGGCTAATGAAGTTTTCTAGTTAGAGTGCTGGATAACAAAGGTGTTACTGTACATTTTGGCTACAACAGCACAAGTGTATAATATACATTTGTTAGCAAATGTAATAGTTAAGGTCATAAAATAGTTTCAGTCAAGGCTTTAATTGGGGTGCCTTACAATGGCTTGGCAAACTAGTACTTTTCTTTGGACAATACCTGCTTGTGCTGTAGAAACTTCTTTTTAAAGAAACCCCTCCCCAATATCTAACCTTTACAATTATGAAGATATGTGAACAGAGTATAAATTGATACAATGATGTCTGCTTGCATCTGCAGACAACCTGAAGTGATAACTTCCCATTGAAATGACAAGGAATAACTCATAGAATGCAAAGCTAAGTCTAAAGCAGGGTCAGGAAAAATATGGCCAACGGGCCACCAAGCCACAGGATCCACCCTGGGGGCACAGCAGGAGCCTCTGACAGGCTCTCTGCCTACCCAGCCCCTGCCTGCTACTCAAAAAAGCCAGCTGCAGGGCCCTTTTTGTCTGTGTATAGGTGTGAGCCCAGGGGAAGAAGAGGCAGAGGCTTTACAGACTGCCCCTAGCACAGTCTTGCAGCACTCATTCACTTATTTGAAAAACAGGCAGTGCACAAAATACACCTCAACCTACTCTTGGGCTCGCAACTGTTCACAGAAGCACATGGCCTTGCAGTTGGCTGCTTTGAGCAGCCTGCTGGGTAATGGAAGGCAAGGAACCTGCGAGACTGCTGGCTGGGAGTCAACCAGGTAACTATTTCCTAGCCTAGTGGAATGACTCATGCTTCAAGTCAAGCATACATGTAAGTGTTTGCAGTTTGGAGCCTTAATTGTCAACATTAACTAGAGAGCACCCCTTGCGATATTGTCTGAGCATCTTCCATGTGTTAGTCTCTCCTAAGCTCTGGGGAAAATAGCTTGATTAATTTATAGTTAAGCTTGGCAGAATTCAGTTTTTATTTTTTATAATTTTGACTGATGTTTGTTTATTTTGGGGACATTTTTATGTTAATATATATTTCCGTAATTGCATGAAATTAGGTGGAGTTCAGACAATGGGGCAGGATCAGGATATAATTATTTGAAGACAATAGATGTAGAGATGCTAAATGTTAAAGGTTGGTAACCATGAAAACACAAATTTTCAACATCAGATGTCAAAATGCACAAAGTAAATATTCTTAATGAAGTTCTGTTTTCAGAAAACATTTATTACTTTGCCTATCTCTAAATGTTGATTGTCAATGGAAGTATATGTCAGTTTGCATATGTACAGTGAAATCCAAGTTTATTGACTTTTTCTGATACAAATCTAATCCTTACTTATAATTTTGGTTGTTTATGAGCTTCTTTGTATTTCTATGGATTGGTGAGTGGGTGTGACCTTAACAGTATCCAAATGCAAGAGGGCAAGGGTTTCACTGGTATCTGATAGTGACTTCCAGCTGGTCTGACCAGTTCAGCATATCCAGTCCATTGATGTCACAAATTGTATCTGATATGTGTCATGAATGGTATAACTAATGGAAAACTAATAACACACTGAACATTAATATTGTTGCATTGTATAGGTAAAGTAAATGCCCAGGGGAATATACAGATATGAAAGAAATGTGGAACTAAAACGTGCTTACCAGACAAGTCTGGGGAGCAAGTAAACAGGTTTCTTTCAGATTAAGGACAAGCTACTGCCTCCAGCAAGGTGTGTCATCAGAATTGATTAGCAATCACATGTCACGTGACTATACATTTGCATTGGAGGGGCAGGTACAGACCAATTTGTATTTTAGCAATCCACCAGCGGGGAAAGAAACCAGCATGGAACTTCTTTCACCATTATATTACATAACAAGCAGTCATGTAACACTTTAAAGACTAACAAGGTGGTTTATTAGGTGATGAGCTTTCCTGGGGCAGACCCACTTCTTCAGATCATACTCTGAAAGTGAATTGGCATGACCATTATATAACAAAAGGGATACAATGAAAGAGTAAATAAATTATACAGTAACAAATCAGCTACAGAAGGTGAAGGAAGGAAGGAAGAAGAGACAAGGAAGGAGGAAATTGCTTATTGTCAGAGTCAATTAAGTGGCTAATCTGGAGTTACTACGAATATCAAGAGGTGGAGAGGCTGTCTTTTGTAATGTGTAAGGTAATTATCATCTAAATTAAGGCCTATTCCCAGTGTGTCAAATTTTAGTATAAATAAAAGTTCTGAAGTCTTTCTTTGTAATCTGGTGTTAAAGTCTCTTTGAAATAAGAGGCATGTTTTCAGGTTTTTAAGGGAATGGCCAGCTTGATTAAAATGTTGGCTAATAGGTTTTTCTGTATGGAGATGTCTGATGTCTGATTTGTGAGAATTGATTCTCTGGAGAATGCTCTTGTTAGTCTTTAAAGTGCTACACGACTACTTTTTTTTGTTTTACCACAATCAGTCTAACACAGATACCCCTCTGTTACTTTTCATTATACTACATGTCTCCTTCCTCACAACTTAAATGATCTTTATTTATTGGGGTTTAAGGCAAGTTAACCTTCAGAAGAACTAGAACTCCTAGAAAGACAAGAAGAGTCAGCATTCTGTGCTTCTGAACACAGAAGAGAGGTCCTGGTTGAGAGGCAGTCAGCCACACTGGACAAAGAGTGACTCATAAAAGAAACCATTGTAAACAAAGATTTGCACCTTTATTTTTTTCATCTATCACTTAAAAGGGGGGGATTTAATTGCTGCTTCAGTGAACCTGAATAGAAGATGCTATTATGTCCACCAGTTTCACTGAGTTCTATGATGACCCATAGATTAAATACATACCCATCCCAAGTAGGTTGGGCGGTGTTCTTTTCCTCTCGTGTTCTTAAGTTCAGCTATTTAAATGTTCCTTTCACGTGGCCGAACTTTCTCTGCATCCTATGCACAGTTGATGCTCTTGGTCAATACAAACCCAGAATTAGGAGGAGCAGTTGCAGAGTTCATCTTCCATTCTAGGTGATGGGAAAGTAAAAAGGCATCTTATTCACTCACTCTGCTGGTCACTTGTTCACTGCTCTCTGCTGCTGCCCTGCTGGCTGCTCATAACACCTCTCTGCCACCGCCACCCAATTAGTTACATTTGTCTCCTGCCACCACTTTGCTGGCTGTCAGTCACCATCCGCTGCCAGCCACTTCTTGGCTGTGATTTCTGCCCACCAGTCTCAAGTGATTCCAGTGCCAAGGTATTTAAACTCTTAGCAAGCAGGGTAGAAGAAACACAGCTCCAACAAAATTAATATATGAAGGAGGCTCCTAATGATGCCTATTTAGCTCTGTTCTTTGAACAGTGTGGGAAACAGGAGGAGGGGAGAACAAGTCAAACCAGGCAGTGGAGGGCATATTTCCAAAACCAAATAATTTTCTCACATCCCTCTTCTCTCATAAGACTGTGAAAGTTGAGCCCCTGCTTAGCAAGGTTCTTTCTGCTATGTACCCTTTCCTTTGAAACAATTTAGCACAGTCTATATTCCCACCAAGTTACAAACATTGGTAAGCATATTTCAGCTATTCCTACATTTAATACAAACGTAGCTGGTGCTGGGTCACAAATTAAGTTGATTACAGTGAGCAAAATACCACTCCATCTGCTGAATATCTTATACATCTAAGCAAAACAGGAACAAACTGTGTTTACATAGATACACCTAAGGCCCTTCCCCACTTCCAGCTAACTGTAAGGGAAGCATTCCTTCAGACCTTGCTTACAATTATCACGGAAAACACAACAGTTAGCATGTGAAAATTGAATCATATATCACTGGAATAGTAATTTCCTCTTGAGTTGTAGTAAGATTCAGATTTGACCTAGCATAATCTCCATGCCATGATAATGAATTTAGATTATATCCTGCTTTGTTACTGGCTTGCTATGTGACTTTGGGCAAATCACTTCAATTATTTGTGCATCGATTTTCTCATCAGTAGAATGTATCATATAGAGTTCTCTTCACATGTCTGTATGAAATGCCAGAAATGTGCTCTCTAGGTTGCAGGAAATTATACAAGAGGTAAATAAAATGGATGCAGCATTTATTACTGTGAATAATCTCACTGACGTCAATGGGTTTTAAATTCTACACTCTTACAGGTTTGCAAGGGTAGTCCGTAAATTAAGACCAGAACATACAGGAGACAACAAAACAAGGAGAGGTAGGATGGAGGGGAGAGAGGGGGAGATTTTGTGGACAGTGTCTCATATATACATTAGAAAGTACAGGTTGAACCTCTGTGGTCTGGGACTCTCTGGTCCAGCAAGATCTGTGGTCCAGAAGGACCACAGATCTTGCTGGACCAGAGAGCCCCAGCCACACAGATTGCCAGCTGAACCTGCAGGGCCAGTGCGCTGGGGGCAGGGAATACAGCCAGCAGTTGGAGCAGGGCCAGGAGGGGAGCCCCACCAGCTGAGAGTGGAGCCCCTGCTGGCTGGAGGCACGGAGCTGCTGTTGGTGCTGCTGGCCAGGGACATAGTAGAGACACTGCCAGCCGGGGGAAGTGAGCCCCACCGGCCAAAGAGGGGTGGCAGCTGGGAGTGGAGCCCCACCAGCAGCCAGTGGTAGCACACTGGCCAGACTGGTGTTCAGGAAGAAAGCCCTGGGTAAGCCTGAGATTCCCTGGTCCAGTAAACTCCCTCCTTTGGGACCACTCAGGTCCTGAGGATGCCAGACTAAGGAGGTCCAACCTGTAGCTTGTTTTCTTTAACTTATTATTGCACAAGGGATAATGCTGACAGTACAGGAGGCCACCATAGCTACTGCTGCTGGAAGCCGTGAGATCTGAGGAGTGACAGGGTGCAAAGCGGGATACAGTGCCAGGCAGAGAGGCATGACAGAAAAGGGTGCATGTGGGCATAGGAAATGGGCACAAAGGGCCATGTAGGTCCCTAATACCCCGGTGGGGAGCAGGCACATAGGAACAATTTGTACAGTGGGGGTACTGATGCCACTGAACCCTGCATATGAAAAAAACACTCCAGGCTAAGGGGCACTGCCACACTCGCACCTGGGGGGAAGTGGGGGGGGGGAGGCTCCTACCTTCCCTTCCCCACACTCACAGGCTGAAGAGTAGCATGGGGCAGCTGGCGGCTGCACACCCCTCCCCCCGCACAGGTACAACTAGCCGCGTGGGCAGCGAGGTAGCCCAGGGGTATGTTGCCTGCCATGAGGGGCTCTCAGAGCCTTCCCCGCTGCACTGCCAGGTTAGGCCAAGCCGGGGTGTGACGGGAGGGGAGGGGAGGGATGCTTGAGGCCCAGGAAGCTCGAGCCCCGCCAGAGAGGCCCAACCGGCTACCGTTCGTGAGACGGGGAGGGGGGAACAACGTTATAGCCCCGCCTTTCGGCTCGCGCAGCCAGCTCGTCTCCTCCGGGCGCGCGCAAGCGCTCTCCCTTCCCTTCCTAGCCCAGCCCCCCCGGCGCGCGTCGCCTCGCGTCCCTTTCCAAGGGCCCGCCCCTTTGGCGCGAGTGGCCGCACCCCCTCCCCGGCGCACGCGCCCTGTTGTTACGACAGGTCTAACGTTCCCCCAGCTCTCTCCATCCCTCCCTGCCGACGTGGTGGAGTAAAGAGGCAGCGGGTGAGTGCGAGCCCCCTCCTCTCCGTTAGCCCCCCCGCCGCGTCTGCGCCGCCTGGAGAGGAGGAGCCTCCCTTGCCCTTCCCTGAGGCCGCTCACTGCTGAGGCCCCAGAAAACTGGGCAGTGGAGGGGGGAGCTCGGGGGGGTGGAGGTGTTAGGGGTGCAGGAGCACTGGGGCAGGAGACCCCTAGTGTGCGGGTTTCTCTTCCCGTCTAGGACTCTGCAACTCTTCCTACTGCTGATTGCTTAGTCATGACTTACCCCAACTTTGCTTTCTCCTCTGCCTCTCTCAGCGCTGCGGGTGGGGTGGGGCTGGGCTGCCTGGATTGCGCTTTGCAGATTTGCATGGGACGTAGACTGAGAGTTGCTGCCTGCAACATACATTCAATTACTGTCAAGTGCCTTCCCTTCGAAGCAGGCCCCCTGCTTTTTCACCACAAAGGCGGTTTTGCTAATTGGAATTTGAACGTGAACAAGTGAATTAGACTGATTCTAGGATTAGCTAGACTTCGGGATAACCAGAGCGGGGGCCGTAGTAACACTTGTTAATTCCCTGTTTGAATCACTCACAGGTGTGTTGAAGTGTAAAAGATCTACCTTGATGCCCTTCACAGTTGCCTTTTATCTGTCAAATGCCATCTTCTGAATTGCGATACCAAGTATTAATATTTAAATCATTATTTCTCCTTGGACCAAAGGTTATATCTCCTTGTTTGAAAAAACTAAGCATGCTGATAGCACTTTATGAATAAAAACATATACCGTATTTTCCGGCGTATAGGGCGACTGGGCGTATAAGACGACCCCCTATCTTTTTAATTAAAAGATAGGGTTTCATCTTATACCCCAGCGCCCTTCCGCCTCCTTTGCTCCCGGTGTCCCTGGTCTGCTGGAGATGGTCCCCAGCAGACCAGAGGCACCGGGAGCAAAGCCGCCAGGAGCGCCTGGGCTCCCCCCCGCCGGAGCCCCTCCGCGGCTTTGAAAGCCTCGGGGGAAGCCGGCGGGGGGGCATCCCAGGCGCGCATGTGCAATCTCCCTGTATTATTTTCCCATTTTTCTGACTTACTCTTGAGGGGAAGCTTTCTAAAAAATGTGGACCAGGATCTTGTGTTATGTCTGAATGTTTTTCAGGCTTGGGCCCTGCTGGAGATACTGTCATAACAAGGCACTTCAGCCAACATGAACAATTCATTTCGCTCCCAGTCTGTAATGTTACCTGTTAAACTATTTGTGAGATTTTGCCTGAACAGAGAAGTAACATTTTTTTTCTAGGACCAGAAGTTTATGATGGCAAGGATGCAAGGAGGGGCTCCAGCGGCGGGGCATCCGGCGTACAAGACGACCCCCGATTTTTGGGGGATGTTTTTTAACTTCTTGTACGCCGGAATATATGGTAGTGGGTAATGTGGATGTTGTCCTTTTCGAGATAAGTAGGTAGTACCTGAAGAAATAATCATTTTGTCTGAAAATTTTGGATTGCAACTTATTCAATAAAATGCATTACATTAACGAATAAACCAATGACATTAACTTTTTATATATTCCATTTCAAAGTGCCATGAAACATTTGATTTACAACAGGCTGTGTGCACTTTCTGTATACTGACAGCTAAACAGTACTGGCATTGCTACATCTGGTATCCTTGGATTGCTGCCATTTTGACATGTCTAAGTGTATGGGACATACCTTTCTGTGGTATGTCATCTGCATTCCATGCTACTTTCTAGATCCTTCCCTTAGACCAGGGGTGATGAACCCCAGGCCCAGGAGCCAGATGCAGCCCTCAGCTTGCCTGGTCCGGCCCCCAAGGCTCAGGGTCCTTCTGGGCTCTGATGTGCAAGAGGAAAGTGGGGAGTGTCTTTTTTTTTCTTAGTTGGGGGCCACGGTGTGGGGTTTTTCCCCTGCTTCTCACTTGTGTGCGACCTCCAACTTATTTTTCTGTGGGTCAGTGACCCCCAACCCAAAAAATGTTCCCCATCCCTGCCCTAGACTATCAAGGAGTTGATGTAGTAGAGATATTTATTATTTGTAAAATGTTAATTGCTGTACACACACCTAGGTAGACTGAGTGCATTTCTGCCTGGAAGGATAACTATAAAATGGCATAAGGGTATTTGTGTGTCCCTGGTTTCTTGATCAGATATGATGGGTTTCCTCCCCTATTTTGTAAAGGTTCTGCTGGTCATGTTATACTCCATTACATCTGTGTAACCCTATTGCCTTCAGATAACACCCTTGGAGACATTTGTACAACCTCAAACAGGAGCAATTGACTGAAATTTACTAAATTATTTTTTAAAAGTACAAGATGAAATAAAATCTTCACTTGCTTCGTTCTGTAGTCCTACTAGAATTAGGACTAATCATCAGTGTGGAGGGCTAATCATATTGAAAGCTTTTTTAAAAATATTGAGTTATTTTTCGCAACATCCCTTCGGGATAGACAAGTATTACCTCCATTTTAAGAGTAGGAAAACTGAGGCAGAGAGTTGCTGTGTAAAAAATACTGTTGGAGAACCAAGATTAAAATTCCTGGCTTCCTGTCCTATTCTTATTCTTTTAGATCATGGTATTTGTGCAGATTATATTTAAAATATAGATTTAAATTTTTGTGAACATAGCATAATTCATAATATAGTAACTTAAACTGTACACAATTTTATTTTACCAGCGTGAACACCAAATGCAACAGGACCCAGTTGTATATGAGAACTAGCAAGTGAAACTGATTGCAAACGCAACTGAAATTGACTAAGACAACATAGGTGATGAGTTATATGTGCCAGGGGCCTTCCTCCAATTTAAATTTTTGTGAACATAGCATAATTCATAATATAGTAACTTAAACTGTACACAATTTTATTTTACCAGCGTGAACACCAAATGCAACAGGACCCAGTTGTATATGAGAACTAGCAAGTGAAACTGATTGCAAACGCAACTGAAATTGACTAAGACAACATAGGTGATGAGTTATATGTGCCAGGGGCCTTCCTCCATGTCACTGACTTCACACTGCAGCTGGCACGTTCCTGTAACCCCACTGAGATTGTGTGCGTGTCTCCTCCTGTGCTGCTCCCAGGACTCAGGAGTAGCACATGGAGATACCCCTCGACTGCCCAGGGGCATAGTGTGAATGGCCAGTAGCCTGTGCTGCTGGTGGTAGCGGCATGTGGGGAGAGGGGGAAACGTGGGAGTGGCAGGTGAGGATGGAGGATGTGTGGGAGGGGGAGAGTGCACAGAGACCCCTGACTCCCCCAGAGTTGCTGCCAGAGCGGTTGCCCTAGGTAAGTGCAACATCCCCATCTCTTTGCACCTCTTTGCTCATGCCACTCCCTCCCAGAGCCTGCACCCTCTTCCTTGTGTACTTTCTGCCCCCAAATTCTTGCACCCCCTTCAGGCCCCATACTGCCTCCCAGAACTTGAACTCCTCACCCCCTCTTTCATCCCACAATCCCTGCCCCAGGCCAGAGCATGCATCCAGTAGGGATGTCAACGTGTAGTCGACTAGACACTTAACCAATAAGCCTATACTTACTAGTTAATCTTGTTGACTACATGCATTCGTCCCACCCCCTTGTGTATCAGAGGCAGTGGGGGTGGGAAGAGGCAGGCAGGAGCTGGTGCTGGCGGGAGCCAGCTTAAAACCTGTTCCCCACCAGCACCAGGTCTGTGGTGCTGTCTGCGTTCCCCCCTCGGCCCACGTTGTTGCCTTTATCGGTGGCTGCAGTGCGGAGGACAGGGCTGGGGAAGTTGCAGCAAAGCAGCCTTAGTCCGTGGTGGGCGTGAGCTCCCCATGACAGAGGCTGATCCAAGTTCCATGGAGAAGCCTCTGCAGTGAGCCTGGGCCTGCCATGGGCAGAGGCTGCTTTGTGGAAGCACCCCATCCATGGAGAGTCGAGATCCCCATGGACAGAGGCTGCTCCATATCCACAGAGCAGCCTCTGTCTATGGAGAGCACGGACCCTCCCACCCCCCTCACAGAGAGGGGCTGCTGCCACCCTGCGCTGCTGTCTCTGTTTCAGCATCTGGTCTGCAAGGGGAGCAGGTTTTTCAACTGGCTCCCCTTGCAGACCGGTGCCATCTGTGCTGCTGCCTCTGATACAGAAGAAGCAGTGTGGGGTGGCAGGGGGCTCCCTGGGAGTGGGGCTGGGAGCTCATTGGTTGCTAGCCCCACTCCCAGGGACTATCCAATAATTGTGTAACTGCTAAAATTGCATCCGGTAACATGACTGTTCATTTACCCAATAGCTAACATCCCTAGCACCCAAACCCCCTCTCAGAGCCCCACTCCTCACCCTGCTTGCAGCCCTTTCTACGCCCCAATCTCCTGCCCCAGTGAAGAACCTGTGCCCAGCACCTATACTCTATACCAGAGCCTGGACCCCAGACTCCCTCCGGCACCCAAACTCCTTTCCAGAGCTTGCACCTCCACCCCTGCCCCAGCCCTAGCCCAGAACCTGTACCTAACTCCCTCACAGGGTATATACCTTTCCCCACACAAATTCCTTCCCAAAGCTTTAGGCATGTGAAGGGGTAGGAGTTTGGAAGGGAGAGTGGTGTGGAATTTTTAGCATTCTGGCACCACCAAAATTTCTGCAAACCCACCACCCCTGCAAGCTGATAGATGATAAATTAAATTTTTGAATATGATTTCCATTTTAATAGTTTAAAAAGATAGTGAAGAAATTATTTAAATTGAGCTCTGTT